GTTTTAAAAGAGTTTCTGAAATGAGGGAGGAGAAGAGGCAACACACCTTTAAATTGAAACACAAATTGAAAATATATTTCCGGTATATATCGTAATTGCAATTCCAGTTTGTATATTGTCTTGCCTGGAACTTAGATGTCTAGGCCACAATTATGTGTTTGGGATGCGAAAATATATTTATGATTGCAATAGTATGTATATTTTCAATTTTCACATAACTTTTTCATACATTTTATGATTAACTAATATACACCAAAAATATATTTCTAATTTTAAAAGATATTTAAAGAATTTCATATAGTGCGTTAGAAAATTATAGAGAGAAATAATAAATCCTCAAAAGAAATTGCAATAAACTAAAAGTATGATCTGTTAGAAAACAAATATAAAGTGTGAAAATGGAGCTATATCTCACTGCTTTATTCATATCAATAATGACTATTAAATAACCTTACATAAGAAAACTGAAAACTCCACGTTTGTAAAAGTTCCTAGAAACCTGGATACTAATTTGACTAAGAAAAACAAACAGACTTGAATAAGTCATAGCTGAAACTACCCACTAAATATTAGCACAACCAACCTACTAATCATGATGACTGGTATCCTCAACATCCTCCCTTAAACTGCAACTTCTCATTTATCTTCTAGTTTGCAGTTTACCTCAAATTCAGAACAAACACCGAGACTTTTTCGCAGGTCCAAGAATGTTCCCAACTTCAATGGTTTGGTCATAAGATCTGCTAATTGTTCTTGACTAGCACAATAAACCAAATTTATAATTCCCTCTTTGGACATCTCACAAAGAAAATGAAATCTAACATCGATATGTTTACTACGGCCATGTAAAATTGGATTTCTAGACAGCTTAATAGTAGAGTCATTGTCACAATTAATAGATATGCCTTTAGAAGCAGAAATCTGATTTAACTTTGCCAGTACCCTTTATAACCATACTGCTTGACAAGCACAAGCGGCAGCAGCTATGAATTCAGCTTCTATGGTAGATAAGCTAACTACTGGTTGTTTCTTTGAGCTCCACGAGACTGCTCCAACGCTAAACATGAACACATAGCCAGAAGTGCTTTTCCGATCATCTATGCCACCTGCATAATCGCTGTCAGTGTATGCTATAAGCTCATTTAATCCACCCTTCTTGTAATGAATTCCAAAATGAGCAGTGCCTTTCAAATAGCGCAGTACCCGTTTTGCTACCAGCATATGTTTCACTGAAGGATTCTCCATCTAACGACTAAGGAGACTGACAACATATGACAAATTAGGTCGTGTAGCAGTCGTTAAATACATGAGACACCCAACAAGTTGCTTATAGTGAGACTTGTCCACCCTCTCATCATTGCCAATTTCCTTTGTGATCTTGACTCATGGTACTATAGGATTTTTCACTGTATTAGAGTTATTCATGGAAAAGCGTTTTACTACCTCCAAAGCATATTTCTTTTGAGATATAAAAATACTATTGGCCAATTGCAGAACTTCAAGTCCAAGAAAATATCGCATCTTACCAATATCTGTCATCTCAAATTCTTGTTTCATAGAACTCACAAAAGAAGTGAACATCACAAGATCATTACCGGTATAGATGAGATCATCAACATACATGCTGACAATTAAGACCTTGCCTCCTTGTTCTGTTTTGGTGAATAGAGTGTGTTCATAATCACATTTTTCAAATCCCATCCTCATAAAGCATGCTTCTATCCAACTATACCATGCCCGCGGGGCTTGCTTCAGGCCATAAATAGCTTTCTTTAGCCGATATACCTTATCCTCACACCCCTTTTTGACGTATCCGTAGGGCTGTTATACAAACACTTCTTCTTTAATCTCACCATATAGAAATGCTAATTTGACATCAAGCTGGTAGATCGACCAATTTTGTTGTGCTGCCGAGGCTAGGATAAGGCGAATGGTTTCCATCCGTGCTACAGGAGCAAACACTTTGTTATATTCTATGCGATATCGTTGTGTGTACCCTTTGTCTACTAACCGAGCCTTGTATTTATCAACTTGACTGGCTTCATTGTACTTGGTCTTGTAAATCCACTTGAGACCAACAATTTTCCCACCACTAGGCAAGTCCACCAATTCCAAAGTATCATTCCTTTCTATGGACTCAATCTGTGTCCATTGCTTGCTGCCATTTCACACTTTTAACAACCTCCTCAAAGCAATTTGGATCACCATCACATGTAAACAAGGCTAAGTTAGAGAATGAATCTGCAAGTTCATCATTCGAAAGACCCTCACCAGTAACAAAATCATCCATCCAGGCTGGTTGGCGATGTTCTCGCAATGGGTAACCTGTGGATGATTCACCCGGAGTTGATGTACTACTTGCAGATTCATTATTATCAGCATGTGAGGAAGATTGATCAACATTTGTGGGCTTAAGACTGTCAGAATTGTTGCTGCCATCATCATTTTCTTCCTCCACCTCTAATTCATACATTGTTGATGGTTTAGAATTGGTGTGCCAATTCCAAGCCTTATATTCTTCAAAAACAACATTCCTGCTAATGATGATTCTTTTGGAAGCTGGATCATATATTCGATATGCTTTAGATACGTCACTGACACCAAGCAAAACACAAGGAAAACTCTTATTACCGAGCTTAGTTCGCTTGGCATCAGGAACATGAACATTTCCAATGCAACCAAAAACACGAAAATGCTCAACTGAAGGTTTGATGCCACTCTAAGCTTCTTCCGATGTTTTATTTTTCACATCAAGAGTAGGGCTTCGATTTAGGATATGCACAGTCCAATTGATAGCTTCCAGCCAAAACGTGCGTGGAACTTGTTTGCTAGAAAGCATGCTTCGAGCAAGATTCATTATTGTTCGGTTTTTTCTTTCGGCAATGCCATTTTGTTGTGGAGAATATGCAGTTGTCAATTGGTGTTTGATATCGTGCTCTGCACAATGTCGCATGAATTCATGAGAAGTAAATTCCCCTCCTCGATCTGTGCGCAGGCCTTTGATAACATGACTTGTTTCTTTTTCAACATGAATCTGGAAACTTTTGAAAGCACCTAAAGCTTCTGATTTTGATGTCAAAAAATAAACCCACGTTTTGCGACTGAAATCATCAGTTAAAGTGAGAAAATACCTTTTTCCACTATTGGATTTTGGATTAATTGGCTCACAAATGTCGGCGTGAACCAATTGCAAAATGTGATTTGCTCTCCATGTGCTATGTGAAGGGAAAGACTCTCTATGTTGCTTCCCAACCAAACAATCTCTGCATGTCTTTGTTGAAGACTTCAAGTGAGGTAGTGCCGTCACCATCCTTTTCAGATCAAGAGTTTGGAGTCCTTTGAAGCCTAGGTGTCCATATCGACAATGCCAAATGTATCCTTCATCTTCAGTAACCGTGTTGAAACATGTGGAACTGTTTGGTTGAGCTACATCATTAAGGATAAACATTCTGTTGGCAGCCATATCTGTCTCCATGAGTAGACCCTTTTCCGGATGAAAAACTTTGCATTTTCCACTTTGAAACATGATAGTCAGATTTTTGGCTTGTAGTTGCCCAATGCTTAGTAAATTATTCTTCAATTCAGGCACAAAGAAAACTCCAGTGATGATATGTGCTCTATCATGTATTTGCAAACTTATATTGCCTATTCCCAATACAACCATAGAAGCATTGTTCCCCAATTTGACAGTATCACGATAACTTTCATCAAGATTAGAGAAAGATGATTTCTTACCACACATGTGATTGCTACATCCTGAATCAAGGAACCACTATTTTTCATGAGAGTTTGTGGTATTATCGACAAACGCCATGGGCAACAAAGGTTCTTGAATTTCAGCATAATGAGCCTCCTTCTCCTTGGACGAACATTCCCATTGGAAATGTCCAAGCTTGTGGCATTTGTAGCATTCTATAGTTGATCGATCCTGACTTTTTCTACCACGACCTCTGCCTCGACCTCCATAGGTAACTGCAAGAGCATGCTCTTCTTCAATGGAAGGAGACACACGTTGTTCATGCAGAAGCAACTTGCTTTGTAGTTCATCAATGGTCAGCGCATTTGTGTTGTTTGACTCCTCAATAGAGCACACAACGTAGTTGAATTTTGGCGTTAATGACCTGAAAATCTTGCTCACAACATCACTATCATCTTTGGTTTCACCGTTGGCTTTCATCTTATTGACGATGGTAAGAATTCGAACAAAAAGAGCCGTTATTGTCTCTCCTTCCTTCATGTGCAGAATTTCATATTCCTTGCGCAGGGTCTGCAATTGAGCTTGCTTCACTTTGTTTGTCCCTTGATACTTTATCTTCATAGAGTCCCAAATATCCCTTGCAGTATCCTTTTTGAGAATTGTCTCCAAAATAGAACGATCCAATGGTTGAAAGAGATAGTTCTTGGCCTTCAAATCTTTGAGCTGCAACTCATTATTTTGCTTCTTTTGTGCCCCAGTCAAAACTGTCCCACTTGCAACCTTAGGGACACCTTCTATTAATCCCCAATACTCTTTCGAACGGAGGAAATTTTCCATGAGCATCGCCCAGTGATCGTAGAACCCATCGAACTTCGGAACCGCTGGTTGCACAAAAGAACTTTCTAAAGTCATACTTGCAAGTATGGCTTACAACAAACCCTGTATCAAAAAAGCCGAAACTCTGGTACCAAATATTAGAAAACAAATATAAAATGTGAAAATGGAGCTATATCTCACTGCTTTATTCATATCAATAATGACTATTAAATAGTCTTACATAAGAAAATTGAAACTTTGTAACAGTTTCTATAAACTTGTATACTAATTTGACTAAGAAAAACATACAGATTTGAATAAGTCATAGTGAAACTACCCACTAAATATTAGCAAAACTAACCCACTAATCATGCTGACCGGTATAAATTGTTTCCCAATCACACGACAGAGAGTAGTAGCAGAATCAGAACAAAGCCCTTTATACATAATACAGTAAAATCATTTTTCTTTGATTTTTGCATCAACAATGGAAGCTGAAACTCAACGTAAAGTTGAAGACATGGTGTTGGATATTCTCAAAAAATGCAACATTGAAGAAGCCACTGAGTTCACTGTCCGACTCGCCGCTTCCGAACGACTCGGTATCGACCTTTCCGACTCACACAGCAAACTATTCGTCAGAAACATCATCGAGTCTTACCTTATCTCCATCGCCACCGACGAAAAACCGGTTCCGGAGGAACCGCCACAAGTTTCCACCGAGACAGTGAATGTGATACACAATGAACCGCCACAAGAGTTGAATAAGGTGATGGGAGTGAAACGCAAAAACGACGATTCTGAAGACATTATTTGTCAGGTGAATCAATCATTATTAACCTAATTCTATGCACTTATTATTAGTATTGTGCTAATGAATCATCTATAAGCCCTAAACTTTGATTTCATTGATTCCAATGTTTAGGGTTTAATTTTTTAATTTTTAAGGGTTTCATTGATTTTGAGTTTGATGGAGAGAAAAGCTCTAAATTTTGTTGAATTTTTGAATATTAATATTGTTCAATTTTCTAGTCATTGATCTAAATAGATGTTGCTTGCTTGATTTGTAGCTATCAACCAAGAGGAATGTGACTGTCCGAGATTTCAAAGGGATGCCATTGGTGTCAATTAGGGAGTTCTATCTAAAAGATGGAAAACAGCATCCCACTGCTAAAGGTCATTGATTCATACACATTGTTATTATTAATTTATAAGCTTAATTTTATCTGCTTTGGTGGCATGCATGCTTTGTTATGTTGTAAGTGTTACTGGATTTTGCTCACAAGAACATTATTATGAAATATCAACTTCTTATTTTTCTTATACTTCTAGTTCAAATATATAAATTCCCTTAACACTCATTGATGAGTATATTTTTAGGGACTGCATGTAATGTGGAACATTCTCAGTTTAAGATATTCTTAATTGTGTGTTTGGATATGGATCATGCACATAAGTGTGGTTAGTAATAGTATTGAACATATCGTATTCCAATAATGGAAGCCTTCTAATCAGTTTTGTCAAATATTGAACTTAGTGGATATCCATGGTGGGTTTTAGGCTCTCTGCCACGGCGAAGTATGTAAAGGAGGGTGGCGCCATATGGTGATATGGTAGCGCCATATGTCGGGCTTTATCGCAGAATTTTTGCTCTCCACCATCCACCATGGATTACACTGGATCCAATATAAATTGCAGCTTGAATTGTTTTCTCATATGAATAGCAGGTTGCTACTATATCCACTGAATTGCAAATATGTAATGTATTCTATGATTCTGAAATGGAAAAAGAGGACAGATGCGTGAATATCTGTTGTTGCAGGTGAAGCTAAAAATAGGCCGGGTAATGCGGCCCGGTTCTGATGATGCCTTTCTACGTTTTTTTGAAACATTTTCCTTAAATGGCACAGAAATAGCTGAAATTAAACCCTCCAAATAACCCAAAGTCAGAATCACAAACACAGCCCCTCTAGCACATTGCTTTTTTTGGCAGCGACTCTTCACGCTACACAGTGCTCGTGTCCTCCCTCTGTTTTTTTGGCTTCCCCTGTCTTGTTAAAAGACCTGCTCTCTCGTTTCGCCTGTTGCTCTTCTGTGTTAATAGCGAGGCTGGGTCCGACAAAAAGAAAACAAAGTTTCAGGTCAAATTTTTTGAAGATTTTATGATACACAAGCTTATCTTTTTAATTTTACGCTGCATGATTTTACACCAATGCCATATTTCATTATTTGTAATCTTACGATTCATAAGATTTGAATCACGATTAGATAGCTTTGATGCATGGTAGTTTATGGAAAGATAGCCTCATTATAATGTTTCTTGCTAGTTGCTCTTTGTTGAAGTTGGGTTTGTCTCTTAAAGGTGAAATGATATTTTTCTTTCTTTGTTTGTTGATGACTGGATTAAAATTCCGAAACTAAATGTGTTCCTTTTTTTACCGCTGATATTAGGGATAGGTTTACCTTCTGAACAATGGTCAACCTTCAAGAATAGTGTTCCTGCCATCGAGGAAGCTATCACAAAGTTGGAAGGAAGGATAAGGTGAGTATTCAATGTTGACTACTGAGTTTTGAGAATACTTGAATCGTGAAACTTTCTGAGTTCAGAATAATATTAATCACCCTAGTGTCAAAATATGGTGAGGGATCCACGGATATGCAGAATCCTGTTTCCCTTCTTTTCTCTGCATATTGATGGCACACTAGCTGCCTGATATTATCTATGATACTCAATGTTGTATTTTAGTTGGAGAAATTTCTGCACTCTTCTGAGTATTTATCACTCACTTTTTTGCTTAAAAGGATATATGTTGCTAGTCGTTTAATTCTTCATATACTGGTATAACGTGGAGCATGTAATCAAAATATTGCAGATCAGGGCATAATGGCTGGAAAAATGGAGAAGTTTCAAGTTCAGTTGCTGATGTTCCTGTTGAGCCTGTGCATATTAAGCCTGTGCCCATTGAGCCTGTGCCCATTGAGCTTGTCTCCATTGAGCCTGTGCCCATTGAGCCTGTCTCTATTGAGCCTGTGCCCATTGAGCCTGTCTCTATTGAGCCCGTGCCCATTGAGCCTGTCTCTATTGAGCCTGTGCCCATTGAGCCTGTCTCTATTGAGCCTGTGCCCATTGAGCCTGTGCCCATTGAGCCTGTCTCTATTGAGCCTGTGCCCATTGAGATTGACCCTATTGAGATCGTCCGTTTTGATGGGAAGAATTACCAAGTTTGGGCTGAACAGATTGAATTACTCTTGAAACAGTTAAAGATTAGTTATGTGCTTACCGAGCCATCCCCAATTGCTACATCAGGGGAAAACAATGATAGTGCTGAAGAAATTTCTAAAACCAAAGCTGCTGAAAAGATATGGGTAAATGATGATTTAGTGTGTCGTCGCAACATCTTGAGCCATTTAGCTGATAGTCTATTCAACAAGTATGCAAATAGAAAAATGAGTGCTAAGGAGTTATGGGAAGAATTGAGATATGTTTATCTGATCGAGGAATATGGAACCAAGAGATCTCAGGTGAAAAAGTATATTGAATTTCAAATGGTTGATGAAAAAGCAGTTGCTGATCAAATTCAAGAACTTAATCGCATTGCAGACTCTATTGCTGCTGCTGGAATGCATATAGAGGAGAACTTTCATGTCAGTGTCATCATTTCAAAGCTTCCACTATCATGGAAAGACTTTTGCATCAAGTTAATGTGTGAGGAGCATCTACCTTTCTGGATGTTAATGGAGCGCATAACAATAGAGGAAGAATCTCGCAATGGAGTCCAACAAGTTGGCGAACCTCCTTCAGATAATGTAAGATTTCTCCATGCCAATAAAGGCGGAATCAAGGGGGCTGACATTAAGCCGGTACCAGGTTTTCCAAGGAAGTTTGAACCTAATGGCAAGAACAAAACCTGTTATATTTGTGGTCAAAGGGGGCATATTTCTAAATACTGTAGATGGCTGTAATTAATTGTTCTGAATTATGGTAGTTTATCAGTTTTTTTTGGGGTACTGAATGATTGATTTATAAACTTGCAATCGTTGTGATATGATTCTTAAAATGATATAAAATTTAGGATTGTGATAGAACTGGAAATTTAAATTGAACACACCAAAAAAAAACTTCTCTCTTATTGATATAACATCAACAGTCCTCGTTACCAACATAGGAATGAACACATTGAACTATTGAGCTATATGTTAATGCACATATAGCAATTACCAATAATTAACAAACAACCTATAACTCTTTTTTTAATAATGTTAGAAGCAGGGGATGAACCTTCGAACCTGTGGTTAACAACTACACGCTCTAATCAATGAGTTATTCCAGTTTGGATTTTATGATTTTGTTAAATTCTAGATAGTTTTTTTATTAATGTTTCTTCTTTTTTGTTATTTGGTGCTTTATTTGTAAGGGGAAAAAATTGTACTATTGAATGGACCTAAATGTGAGAGGGAGGAAGGGAAACTTAAAGCCGAGGAAGATGACCTTCCATTGAATATCTTCAATCTATTATAATAATAAAACATGAGACTCGTCCTTGACCTTAAATGAGATTATAATACAGATCGAGGTGTTACAACACACCTACTTTAGAGTTATCTATTTAAAATAAATTCATTTTCAAAATCAGAATTTGAAAATATTATATCAAAACGTTTGAATAAATATGCAATGGAAATTCAGAGTTAAGAAAATTACTAAAAATAAACGAGATAAGGGAAGAGGAATGACACCGAAGATTTATATAGGTTTAGTCTAATGAAATGACTTACTCTATTCAAGAATTGATCTTGGAAATATCCACTATGCTTGAGAGCTTTTAGAAGGTTAAATCGATGTACCCCCTTATACAAGAAAATGAAGTTTCAGACTAACTTCTAATCAAACAACGAACATGCTTAAAGCGATCAGTCTTCACACTAAACATAAATTTTGCACAACCTCATCTCAAACCAAGATGAAATTTTGAGTTGGCTATTCTCCAAGCCGAACTGGGGTTTTATACGGGTTGACTTTGAACTGAATCGAGATTTATATCAGGATGATCTAGTGAAAATGTACCTTGATCAGTGGTTAAAGTTTTAAGAATTTCAAACTTGTAAATAATGTGGTTTTGGATAAAATTAATTATTGATTCCTGATCAACATTGATCAAATGAACAACTTTGACCCACTTGGTAAAATAACCTATACCGACCAAGATATACTTACCTTTGGATGATGTAGGTCTCTACATGGCTAATATTTGACAATAGAATGCAACTCACTTGCAGGAACAATGTTGAAAACTTACATGTCTTTTGACATTCTTGACAGTCTTTTGCAAATTTAATGCAATCCTTTGATATGGTTGGCAAATACAAACCTTGTCGCAATAAAAGATATTTCATCTTGTGACCTGGTTGATGAGCGTCACATGATCCAATATGGACATAAAAAATTAACAAATAAGCTTCAATCTCACTAAGACATTTAAGCAAGATTCCTTCAAAAGTCTTTTTTTGTGAGTGAAACTTGGTCCCTTAAGTGTTTTGAGTGATGTCAAAAATACGAGAGTCTTGCATTTCTTTGGTCGGATACTATCTTTGAGTTTATTATGGCACCTTGATTATTTGGAAGTCATAGGTTGTCTGGGAATCATTAAAAGTCACTTTGAAATTGAGTCAAGTCATTAAAAATCTGTATTTGTTTAAATTTTTGTTGCATGTGTCGACACATCCGCTTTTCAGGTCGACACATGTAACTCATTTTTAAAACTTGTAGCTTCTGTAAGTCTCAGGTCGAACATGCACTACATAGGTCGACACATATTAAAACTTTTCTGAAATTACAGAAATTCTTATTTTATGTATCGACACATTCATTTTTCAGATCGACACATTTACTAGCGTTTTAAAGCATGTAGCCTTTGTTTCTCTTCTGTCAACACATACACTTATAGAGGTCGACACATACGACATAAAAATCAAGTATGTGTCGACACATACGATATACAGGCCAATACATACTGTTTAGTTGGTCAATTTTTTTTCCAAATCCTTTTAATTCCAAATTTATCCTTTTTGCCCAAAAAGTTCCAAAACTATAAATACTCATTCATGCATCATTCATAACTTGGTGAAACCATAAAATTAGTCCATTTCTCTATTAATCTCCAACCTCTAATCTATGTATACACACTGACATTACATTGTAATGATGTTCTGTTGGGGTGCCATCTAGACTAGGATTGTTAATGTCCAATTGTGTATTAGGTTGAGCTTTGTAGGGGTTTTCATCCAGGAAAAATATCGGGTTTGTCCTCCAAGATCATTGGTTGATTTGGGAGTTTTCGTGCAAGACGTTTGAGAGGTAGTTGCGATCAAGTGAAGTCCTTTGGAGATAAATAATGCAAGGGATCCTTTGGAGATAAAGAACACAAAGGAAGTAACCCGAGAATGGTAGATTACAATTGAAGTCTTTTGTTGCAATAGTTTGAAATTGACGGTGTGCGAAAGCTTTGGAGATAAACAACGCAAAGGAGTAGCAAGATCATGTTATCAATTTACATCTATTGTGTGTTAGTCTTTCTCAAGATAAAAAGAAGAGAAGGGGTTGAATCAACAACAAGTATTAGGGTTTTGGAGTTGCTCTTGAATACTTCTTTTGGATCAACAATTTTGCATAGTAAGAATCATCCTAATTCCATTTGAATTAGGCACAGACGTACCCACATGCAAGGACGACATTATGGAACTGTGAAGACAAATTCCTTGTGTCTCTTTTATTTTTGCTTTTACTTGCTTTGATTTTCATTGATCAAATTGTCAAATAGCATTGCGTTATCAATTGAATTATAAGAATTTTTCGAACTGTTTTTGACTTTAAATCAAGTGTTGATATAGCTTATAATAAATTTTGATTATGAGTGGTTTTGTGTATGAACACAACTCAAGGAAAAATTCTAAAAATTCACTTGCACACCAAGTGTTTGATAAATTGATTTAGCTTGTTCTATTAATATTGCCATTGGAAATAGCCTTACTAGTAACTTGTAATAAACGTTAAATAAGCTGTAAAGTGATTCAAGCATATTAGTTCAAGTATCCTTATTATTCCATATTGTCTTTTGTGTTTGCATTTTCATACCCGAGTTTTCAATAACGTTCGTAAAGAACTCTCTTTTAGGTATTCCTAAGGTTAAGAATAAGATGGATGACAATTCATTTAACTTTGGTCGTGATACATGTTTTATTTGGCAAAATGAGGTGAAAAGTCTCAAAGCTAAAGTAACAAAGTCTTTACTACCAAAGGTTACTTTTGCTATAGATCCAAAAAATTTAAATAAATATTTAAATCCTCTATATGCAAAATATAGCTTTGTTGAAAAGAAAGTAAAAAGTAAAATTACCACTTTTTGAAATATAACTTGTTACCACTATCGTATGAAGGGACATACCATTGCCAAATGCAAACTTAAGAACTCTTTTGTCTCTAGTGGCATTTCTAAATGGTTACCCAAGTGGGATGATTATGTTACTCACTCTAAAGGACCCAATGAAGATTGGGTACCTAGTTTATCTTGTTGAAAACTGCAGACAAATTGTCTTGATTCTACAAAAAGCTATAATGCTTCATGAGTAGGTACATCAAGACAATTAGAGAGTGGTCCATTTATATCCTATTAACTTTATGGAAAAATGATTGGATGTGCCCTAGGAAAATATCAAAAAGTGACTCTCTGATAAAAGATATTGAATCTACAAGAAGATGAATGTGATGAAGCTTGATCATAGTTGTTCATAGCTCGCTAGAAAAAATTGATGCTCATGTTTTTGAGCTTCATGTGAGATGCTTGTATTTTTACTCTGTCTTATCGGTGAGGTTGTTTCATTTCATGTATCACATCTTCTAAGAGTAATATAGTTCGTTTATCTATCTATGTGCACAAAATATATTAAATGCACGCTGAATATTCATTTATCCTATGTTCACTTCCAAGAATTTTAATTGAATCCGTGATTATTTCAATTTATATGTTTATAGTGACTTTGGATAAATTGTTTAAACTATGAGTAATATTGTTCACACATACAAATGTTTTTCCATTACATGTTCATGAATCATATAGGATATCCAAAAGATGAGAAGTTTTAGGTCCTTTGGTTTTTTTGAATCAACATAGGTTGGCTCATGAAGTCCATGTGTCGACTCATAAAATAAATCTTTAAAAATGTTCAAAATCCTTTAGTATGTGTCGACACGTAAATCGTATAGGTCGACACATAAAATAATTTCTTGAGATCTTTTAAAAAGTTTTAGATCAGGTCGACTCATGAGTCGAATGTGTCGACACATGAGTCAATTTACGTAGACACATGTATGCAGAAATGGATTTAAATCTATCCTCTTCATCTTCCATTCTCTTCCTTCTCTCTTGAATGTTTTAGACCTAAACAAAACCCTACCTTTGAACTACATAATTTCGTTCAAACTCTCATCTTTCCCATAAATTCAATCATTAACACCAATCCAAATTAGTGTTCATCTCCTTCAAAATTCCATCTTAAAAGTGCCATTCATTTTCCACTATATTCAAGATACATTCATCCATTACATCTTTCATTCATATTAGTATAAATTGAATGTTTGTTTGCTATTTTTGAGTATCTATCTTCATCATAACATCATTTTCATTAGTTAGCATATCATAATCCTCTAAAAATCCAACTGTTCTGGTTAGGGAATTCTGTCAAACACCTTGCAGGAAAGCTTAAAATTGTGAATTTGCTCATGCCTCATAAGTTTTCAAGAGGAAAGGGTACTGGCCGTGGTAAAGGAAAGGTTGGATCCTCATCAAATGCTACTAAAAATGTGTTCAGTCTAGTTAGTGAAGAAAATCTTGATTTCTTTGATGAGAAATGTCATGGGAGACTTGTTGTCAAGCAACACTACTACAAAGTGACTACTGCAGATGAAT